TTTTTTTTTTTCCCCTCAGCTTCGTGTGGATAAATGGTGGGGAAACAGGAAGGAGTTGGCCACAGTCCGCACCATCTGCAGCCACGTCCAGAACATGATCAAGGGAGTCACTTTGGTGAGAGCTCAGATATGCTTGTTTCAGTCGGTCCAGTTATAAACCCTGTGCACGCTTCTGGCTGACCCTGCCTATTGTTCAAGCAATTCTGTTTGCCTCTCATGCTTTTGTGCCACTGCAGGGTTTCCGGTACAAAATGCGTTCAGTGTACGCCCATTTCCCCATCAACGTGGTCATCCAGGAGAGCGGCACCCTGGTCGAGATAAGGAACTTCTTAGGAGAGAAGTACATTCGCCGTGTCCGAATGAGGGGTGGTGAGTCTGCGTCACATCATGGAAATGTTTATGAGAATGGCACGTGTGAAGTCCAGAAATATTCAAAGTTTCTGAGGCGTAAATGACTTTGTCAGGAGAAGTTTGAAATTATGTATAACTTCATATTGGGTTTGTGGTTGATTAGACACAAATACTTGTGACACATTAAAAGTTAAAATAGCCAGATGGAAGGGACCACAGGGAATTTATCATTTTAGTCTTCAAAATGTCAAATTATCTTTAAAGATCATTAAAGACTTGTTTTTGTGATCTTTTGTTTCATCAGTTCAAAACCCAAGAGGCATCATTATACTAAAATCATGAAATTCACACCCTTGTGAAGCTGAACGAGCTGCTGATTGGGCAAAAACCGCTAACGGCTGATTTGAAAACCAGGGCTCGTTAAATTTATGGATTAGGAAATTATTTTGTACAGATTAATTGGTGTAGTGCGTATCTGAGGAGGGATTTAGAATTGGAAGAGTGAGGCACGTGCAGACTTTGTGGAGTCATTGAAGCAGATTCTTTAATTTGTGATGAAGTCTGGAGTTGCAATCAGAGTTCAAACATGGTCAGTTAAACATATCGACTTTTCTCTCAGCAGATTTAAAGAGCTCGCCTCATTTTAGTGATGTAATGTCTGAAGCTGGATATTTATTATTTGGTGGAACTGTCATCTCGTTGGAGGGCCACTTTAGTGTTCAAGTAGTACAGAAAAAATAAAACACAGACAAATATTTCTGAAAATGTAGTGGAGGTTGTTTCTTTTTAAAAAAAAAAAAAAAAAAACATTTCTAATTTTGTATAATAAGACTAATCTTATGTCCTTTTTCTCTTTCAGGTGTGCTGTGTTCAGTCTCAGCCGCACAGAAGGACGAGCTGGTCCTGGAGGGTAACGACATTGAGCTGGTGTCCAACTCTGGTACGTCTGCCTGCTGTTTCCTCTTTAGGTTTTCTACACCATAGGATGAAATGATATGATTATGTCAAGCTCCACCAGCAGATGAGGAGTTTTTCATTATTTCAGTCCTGAAACTGATTCAGTGTCACCTTGATGCTTGGTGTAGATAAGAGTGAATAAAACATCAGAGGATGTTTGTCACCGACCTTATGGTTGGAAAACTGGACTCTGTGGACAGTTGTTGCACATCATCTGCACACCCTACATGCAGTTGGACATCAGTGCAGCTGCTAATCCAGTTAAATCCAGTTGTTATGTAGAGCCCCTCACCTTCTTCCCTTCCATAAGAATAGATGAATATCCCTCTGAACGATCAGTTTATCACACTTGACTTCTGATCAAGTTTCCCCCCACCTAAAGTCCTACTGTTCTCCTTACTGAGGTGCAGTGAGGGTTTTATTATCTGACAGACATTAAGTTCAAGTTCTCAAATGAAATTATGGAAAGAGGATAAACTCAAATCAGAGAAGAACAGCCTCACCAGTGTTCTTAGACTATTTTAAGTTTGAGTTTCTCCTTGAGTTGATTTTTCGCCTTCACTCTTCTACATTAAGGACTGAGCACGGTCTCATGTTTGCACATCTACTTTGATGAACAAAAACCCCATCGCTCCACCTCAGTTGAGATTTTATTTTTTTTTTAATTTTTTGGCTAGGTCTATAGTTCTCCAGAATCTGTATTTTTAGAGTTTTTGTCCATATTAGTCGGGGTTTTTTTGTTGTTGTTTTTTTGGCTCAGTTTTTGAAGGCAAAGCTTTGTTATACAGTAGTGAGTATAAATATCATATTGATGTCAAACAAAGGCCAAAAACTGTCACCTGACCATAATCCACTCAAGACTGTATATAATTTCTGAAAATGAGTTTAAAGTCAAAATGCTCCTGCAGGTGGATTTTCCTGTAAATCCCTGATGGAGGTGTGAGATGCGAGTGTGAGATGCTTTTAGACCTTTTTAACTACCATTTGATTCACATGCTACAATCCAAACAGCTCGACCTGCATGTATAAAAAGGAGGGTCGGTATGAGACCGCTGCCTCAGGGGCATATCAGGCTTTTTTGGACTTGTATTCAGATTCTTAGTAAACATGTTGGAGATGAAATTTGAACTTGGAGCCAAAACTACAGCAAACAGTGTGTCACACAGTCCTTCCTGAATCTTGTGTAATCCTGTTGTGATGTTCTACTTATCACCCCAACTTGTCTGTTGCAGCTGCTCTGATCCAGCAGGCCACAACTGTCAAAAATAAGGATATCAGGAAGTTCTTGGACGGCATTTACGTGTCTGAGAAGGGAACAGTCTTGGAACCGGAACAGTAAAAGTTACACCTACACTCTCGGAGGTTAGACATCACCATCCTCCTGTCCTGCATGCTCTGCTGGTTTTTCTTCCTTCTAATGGTTTCATTCTTTCAGAATTTTTTTTTTTACACAATGCGCTGCTGCTCCACTTTATTTAAACTTATTTGTTGGGGCTTATGGATGTAGTTAAATTATTTTCCATTAATAAGTACTCCTTACATGAAGTCGCCTTCATGTGTGAATCAATCTCCAAAAATCTGACTGGGCTTTTAACATTTTATCGGCAGTTTCAGATTATTAACAGTTTCATAAAAGCTGTAACTGATACAAACTGTTTTCCAGCCCCATGTGGTGTTTGTGTGGATGCTTTTGGCGTCACTGTCTGCATGAATGTGCACCACAGCGTGCATCTGTGCTCCTAAACCTGCCCATTATTTTTGAAGTAAACTCTTCATTAATCCTCCCACTCAGTTGATCTGTCCTCACACTCGGCTCCTCTGTTTGTTTCCAGCAGCCCTGTTCCAGCAGACCACCACAGTCGGAAAGAAGGACATCAGGAAGTTCCTGCACAGCACAGTGCTAATGACAAGCTAATAAGACCAATAAACTAATGTGTTTTCCAGTTAATCCAGTCTCTGCCTCCCTTTCTTAATGGTTTTTGAGAATAGTTCAGCAAAATCTTGATATTGTGATAAATTGCACACAAATGAGAGTCACTGGTGTAGTTCTACCCATCATCAGAAGTTTAGGATTTGAAGATTTTTTATTTTCACTTTGTTCAGTGGATTTCCTTGTTTTAGTTTAGCTTCACTGTTTGTTTGAGTTGTTCTGTTTCAGAGGAAATATTTAAGAAATTCAGGATGAATATTAATAATCAAACAGTGCTTGTTAGAGGTTGTTTCACCAGCCAGGTTTTGAATACTAAAACTACAGACATCATTGTAATTGCAATGAACTTAAGAGCTGTGAATGGGCTGGATCCCTGCTGTCACAGGGTGAGATACAAAGGACATCGTGGACAGAATGCTGGCAATCATGCTCAGCAACGGTGTTAAACACTACAACACTGTGCCCCCAAAACAGAAGATTTCTTTTACTTATACCAGTATACTGTTTTTGTTAAATTTCTGCTAAGTTCATGGTCAGTTTTTCCTTGTAGTTCATTATAATAACAATAAAACTGATGGATCAGATTCACTGAGGAGCTTGTGAAAATACTGAGATTTCTTGAGGACCAAAGTAATTCAGTTTACAGCACATCCACTGGTTTGTTGCCAGAATGGCAAGTTTTAATTTTGAATATGTAAACGAACACAGACTACTAAAAGCAAAAGATGTAACCCTAAGACTTGCTGAAAAAAATGTCACATTTGTTACCTAGATTTTTACTTTTTGTTCTTAGCATTTCAGACACCTCACAGTGCTGATACTTCAGTCTCACACAGACTGAGGTGGTTTGATGTGTGAGGTGTTTGTCTGACCTCAGGAACATCTTCAGGTGGACCAGGAGTCAAACAGACAACCTGTTCTAAAACCAGAGGAACTCAAATACAACCTAACCTGAAGGTTTTCATAAACTCACCATGTTTGGTTTGTGTGAAAGTCTCACGTTTAAATACAAGAGTGTTTTCCTCCAGGAGAGTAGTTTTGTTTTTTTTTATTTGTATTTGCATTTTTAGTTAAAATCTGTAGGTTATTCAGGTTTTAAACAATATTCAAACAGTGCAGACACTACAGTTTATTTTTATTTTGTATTGATTGCTCAAACCATATGTATTGCGGTCATTTTTTGAGTTTGATTTTAGTTCATATATTTATTTATTTTACTTTCAATTCTACAATTATGGATATGAAAGTTGAGCATTACACTAGTATTATGAAATCAGTGATACACCTCATTGCTTTCAGTGGTAAAAGCGCGCAGATTTTACCGGAAATTCTTCACAATAAGAAATTAATGCAAAAAAAAAAAAATCTGTTAATTTATACCACAACAAAAAATATTTTTTGTTATTTATTGTTTTAAACTTTTATTTTATTTATCTTGACATATCTGTAAACATTTAGGTTTTCTTTAGTCGAATAAAAAAACGTCATCGTGGTGACGCGGTGACGCACGCCAACCAGCTGCCGGAGCGTCATTTCCAGGCGACCGCGGACTCTTGCTTCGCGCCAAGCAGTTGAAGCTTTTTCTTACTTTTTTTTGATAACAGACCAACACAGCGAGAAAGCGCGTTCACAATGGTACGTGACATATTTCAGCTGCTTTTTCACTCAAACTGGAGCCTGTGTGCATAAACACAGCGGGTAAATATGGAGGAAATGATGCTGTTGTGTGGTTAAACCTTGCTGCTGCTACTGATGATGATGATGATGAAGAAGCGCAGTGCGCAGTTAGCTCCTGCTAAAGAGGATCAACTTCAGTCCTTTGGTTCAGATAAAGCTTTGAGCAGCAGGTGAAGAAGATGAAATCTGTGAAGTGTAAGAGCGTTCAGTTTGTAGTTTGTGTAGCTGTGCGGTCTGCTGTGGAAGCACACTGACTAACATGCAGAGGGGTGACAGTTTAAAGGAAAACCATAAAGCAGTGGGTGTAGAAGGACACACACAGGTGCAGATGCTTCCTCACAGCTGCACTGCAGGCTACAGTGAAGCAGCAACATCTGTGGCATGAGTGAAAAGACTGAGCTGACTTTGAATACGTTTGTTTTTGTTTGGGTGTCAATAAGGTGATTTTAATTCACTTAAATAAAACTAAAGATAAAAACTGTTTTGTTTTTTTAAAAAAAGCAAAATTAACTGATGTAAAATCAAAAGTTGACTCGTGGTGTAAACTCATAAAACCTAGCATAAGGAAATGTCCTTATGCTAAGATTTTCACTGGGAGTGACAGGATGTGGGAACATTCATAGATGTATTGAGGACATGCAGAGGGTTGGTGTGACAGATGGTGGTTATGTCCACTAATGGGAGCAGCAGAGTGAAGAGGATGGCTTCATTCAATTATCAAGACAAGCCAGCCGGTATTAATTTATGTATCTGAGTAAGCATAATAAAATGGATTTAAGTAAAATAAGTTATTGGGGAACCAAAATAACTACAAATAGGTATAAAATAAGTGAGCTAGTCTACAGACAAGATTGGTAAATAATAAAAGATTTCCACTTTTGGGGAAAAAAATGAATATAGCTGCCTTTGGCTGTGAAATTCATCTTTTCTAATTTGCAAAATGAGATCATGTGCTTGAGCTACAAAGATGTGGATGGGGTAGGATGGAAGGATACAAAGTCTCACTGAGATGTCAAAGAATGAAATAGTTTTGGATTCGTAGCTCCTACTCCCAGGCACTTTGACTGCATTATGAGTCTCCAGGGCTGTCAGGATGTTGTATAGTTTTGATAAAAGTGATTTTTTTCCCTGTTTTTTCCTTTTACGTAATTCTGTAATTCTTACAGTTTGTACTCTTCTGTGTGTGCAGGACATCAGGCGGTTCTTTGCACCGACGTCGGCTAAGCCTGCGGTGCAGAAACCTGCCCCGAACGGAAATGACAAACAGGAGAAGAAGAAGAAGAATTCCTCGTCAACGGACGAGGAGGTGAAAAAGAAGAAGAAAGAGGCCAACAAGGTGAGGAGCTGCCCCTTCTCCTTGTCTCCTTTATCTGTTCCTCTTCATCCTGTTTATCCGGCTTTATTGTGGTTTCGTGTTCTGTAGGTCAAAAGCAAAAAAACTGAGGAGCAACGCAAGGATGGGGAGAAAAAACGAAAGAAGCACGCAGTCATAGCCTCGGGTAGGCATTTCCTCCACAGTGATGTCTCGGTGTCACAGCATTGTTATTTTTCTGAAGGTTTTTAAAGGATTTGTTAAAATACATTACTTTAATGTAGTTTATTGCTGTTTGGGGGTTTGATGAGATGTATGCGGGGACTCAGAGACCTGCAGCATCCTCAGGCTCTTCTGTGCATCTGGATTTAAAAAAAAAAAAGATAACACACATTTTCAAAAGTTTACAAAGTATTTAGCCTCATATTTTCATCCAAAGATGAATGGAAATAGATTGTAGATTTAGATGAGGACAGAATTATTAGCCCCCTATGAAAGTTGGATTTTCACCCTCTCAGACGCAGAAGAACTAGCAGGGTCAAAATGTTGTAGTTTTCAACAGTCTCACACGTCTCCCAACCAATCACAGCTCATTCTTCCTCACCTAATCTCTCAAGCTCCTCCAGATTGGATGGATTTCAGTTCACCCCACACATTTTCAATAAGTCTGAGTTTTGTGCACTTCAGTCAGTAATGTGGAGGTAGTTCCTCACCAGGATTCACGTGTGTTTTGAGTCGTTGTTGTGTTGGAAGACAAAGCGATGAACCAGACCCAGTTTTGCTGCTGACTGTTTGAGGTTTTCTTTCAAAATCTTCACATGCCCATCTTTCTTCATGATTCCTTCCACTTTGAGTTTTTCTTGGAGCCTTGCAGCCCGTTTCTGTGCAGGGTTCTAGTGATACGTTGTGTTTGTGCTCAGACTCAGATGAGGAGGAGCCAGTGAGGAAGTCGAAATCCCCCAAAGAGAAAGCGAAGACGAACAAAAAAGATCCCGTGCAGTACGTCTCTGAAACAGGTGATGCTTCAGATGTGCTCTTACCCCAGCGTTAAAGGAAAAATGTCTTTTTTTTTTATAAACGCGTGATAGGAGGCCTCTCTGTTCTGCTTGTAGACTCGGACAGCGACAACTTCCAGTCCTTGAAGAAAACTTCCAAATCCAAACAGAACGGCGCCGCAAAAACGACAAAAGCGAACGCCGCGAGCTCTCGTCCGGAAGCCAAACAGTCGGGGAAGTCTCCCTCCACCCAGGGCAAAACCACACCAAAATCTCCTCCTGTGCCTTCCACCCCAAAGTCAGCTCCGCTCCCTCAGCCCAAACACACCCCCACATCAGTACTCGATTACTTTGGCAGCGCGAGTGTTCAGCGCTCGGACAAGAAGCTGGTAGCCAGCACCAAACGAAAGGCTGTGAGTACTGAGGCATTACTTCTGTGTGTGTTTCCTTGTTTTTTTACTCATCCTCTCATGACTCAGTAACGATCCTTTGTAAAAAAAAACTCCTCAGCCGACTCTCACAGACGACCTGATAAGCGATGAGGAAATTGCCAGGCAGCTGCAGATGGAAGAGGACATGGAGGTAGGCTGATCAGCCGCTGCTGGTTTATTTGACTTTGAATTAGAGCTGCTCAGTAAATTGACAGATGGCTGTGACCGTAGTTCATTACAGCTCTTCTGCTGTTCTCATGTTTTTGCTGCTTCACTCTCAGCTGGAAAAACAGGTCCACGAGGATGAGGAGTTTGCCAGAACGCTGGCCATGCTGGATGAAGAGCCAAAAGCGAAGAAGGTAAAGGCTGCAAGCATTAAAAAGGCTTGTGCAATTAAAGTCTCAAGTTTATTTCAAGTCTTGTTTCTTTTGTCTTCCCAACCATCCAGGCTCGCAAAGGCTCTGATGAAAAACAAGTCTTGACCATGAGCCCCAAAAAGAAAGCCACAGACGCCCCTGGGAGCAGCTCGAACACCAGCGTGTCTGAAGATGTGGTTAGTCCGTCTCCCAAAAAGACCACAAATCCTGTAAAAGCCAGCTCCAA